GGGAGGTGCAGCAAGTGCTGCCAAAACAAGTGAAACTCACAAGAACATTGTAACTATGGTGACCACTACCTTGTTTACCTCTGGCTATAAAGGCTCAGCTTGCTGTCTGGGTCTCTCTGTGGCCTTAGCCAGGCACAGAAGATCCACCTAGGTCCAGCTTATTCCCTTTGTCTGTCTTTTCTACATCCTTCACCGTGCCCCCCTCAGGCTCACCAAACCCGTGGCTGAGCTGGCCTGGCACATTTGGCGCCCAAGCCGGGGCCTGAGTTGGGGGGAACTGCAGTTGTCAGGTGAAAGGACGCTCCAGGGAAGCACGTGCAGAAAGCAAAAAGGAAGGTAAGGAGTGACGTTTAGTAATAACTAGGTGTAAAACATGGGAAATTCAGGATCGCAGGAAAAGAATTTATAAGGCCATACTCCAAGCACAGGGCTGTTCTGTGAGGTATCAACAGCTTTTCGATTTGTTGGATTTTGTAAGTAAAACCTGCCCATGGTTTCCTGGGGAAGGAAAGGTAAATGTAGAGAAATGGGAGAAGGTAGGAAAACAACTTAGAGATCGTTATATAGTTGAAGGTCCAGGGAAAATTCCTCTGTCTGCTTTCAGTATTGTTATGACTACCTCACATGCATGGGCATGGACAAGTCGGAAGTCATGTACAGCGATGAGAAAAAGGTGAGGGCAAGGAGGAATAGGCGGTGCCCACCTGAGGGCGCTCTTGCTTTGGGCAACCCAGAGGCCCAGAGAGGGCCATCTCCCAGCCAGGGCTACACAGCCAGGCAGGAGAGCCTGCTTTTCTGTGCCCATCTCACTGCGGGGACAGCTGAGCTTCCCAGAAGCCCATGGGGACTGGAGCCCCAGTCCAGAGCGCACCCCACCTTCCCCCCAGGAGCCCCTGCCCACCCCCATCACTGTGCTTTCTTCTTCCCCTGTCCTATAGAATCTGTGCCTGCTGCTGGAGAAACAGCACGACGAGGAAAGGAAGAAGGAAAAGGAGAGGTCCGAGACAGGCACAGCATTGGATTAGGACCTCGGGGACTTTGGGGGCCTATCCTGAGACCCCCACCCACCCTCTGTGCCTCAGTTCTTTCCATCAATTCCACCAATAAAATTTCTGCATTTGGAATAGGCAGGTTGTCATTTGCTCACTCACTCATTCATTCACTCATTCATTCATGTTGAAGCCGGCGCCCCTGGCTGCAGAAGCCCCTGCTGTAACCCCCAGCACACATGCCAGGATGGATGATGGTACATATGTGGGAGCCCAGCACAAGAAGTTTCCTTCTGCAGGAGGGGGAGCCTGGGAAGGCTTCCTGGAAGGGGCATCTGAGCCAGTCTAGAAAGATTAGGAGCTTGATAACACCTGCTGTTCCTGCTGCAAGCCAAGGGTCTGACAGGACACATTTGAAGAACATAAGGCAGAGGAACAAAGCGGGAGTTCAGGTGGGTAAGGGGTGGAGAGGACTCAGGCACAGGGCACGGTGCCAGGATTGTAGGACCTTATGGCAAACATCACCCTGGCCATCTGGGAGGTGAGCTGGGGGGGGCCTGACGAGGTGAGCTCCTGGACCAGGGCCAGGGCAGAGACAGGGGGAATGTTGGAAACACAGAAGCCTCCAGAGGGTGGCAGGAAGAGTGGGAATGTGCCCCCAACAGGCCCTCGGATGGGGAAGGGGGGAATGGCTGTGTCAACCTTCCACCCCACCAAACTGACTTTAGAAACCAACAAATCAATGACATACACCACAAACACCAGAAACTTTGGGAATGTTTTTGGGTTCTTTTGGCTTTTCTTTCTTTTTTTTTTTAAGATCAATATAAATTCTTCTTCATTTGCCTCATAATGAAAACAGACTTTTCCAATGCCCCCAATATACAAATATCACTGATGCACACACATTCCAGAAAAGCTGAGGTACGCGCTGCTACAGGGTGGGGGGATAGGACACGGCCTGACAGGTAGCAGGCCACCGGCCCAATTCCACCGGGATCCCCAGGCCAGAGTGGGGGTCTCGAGATGAGGTATGGAGAGGGCCATGGAGGATAGGGCCTAAACGGGCAGTCGGACATCCCTCGAGGGGTCCCAGATTGGAGAGGGTGCACGGTTGTGCTGACATTGGACCAGCCTACGTTCGGGGAACAGTTTTAGCTGCTGCATTAAAGGAGATGTTACTCAGTGGTCATCAGAAAAAGAAAGGGGGCTGCTTTAACTGTGGCAAACTAGGGCATTTTGCTAAAGACTGTAATGCTAGAAATGGAAGTCAACAGGCTACAGGGAGTGGAAACAAGCAGCCTGGACTATTCCCAAGATGCAGGAGAGGAAAGCATTGGACAAATGAATGGCGCTCCAAGACTGATGTCCATGATAATCCAATGTCCCCTAGGCAGGGAAACTTCAAACGGTCCCCGGCCCCACCAAACAGTAGGGGCCTTATCCTTAACGTGGTTTGGTTCAGTGGATGGAGCATCAGCCTAAAGGGTCACAGGTTCAACACTGGTCAAGGGCACAAGCCTGGGTTGCCAGCTCCATCCCCAGTAGGGGGCGTGCAGGTGGCAGGCAATCAATGATTCTCATCATTGATGTCTCTATCTCTCTCTCCCTCAGGAAGCGCAGGATTGGCAAGTTCTTCCTGGGGTGATAGATCAGGACTCAGGCAATAGCAGAGAGTGCCAATCCTACTCTTAAAATACAACTATAAAAATTAAAAAAGGGGGAGAAGAATGTTATGTGTTAAATTTTTTGCCGAATTGAACCCTGGACCCTTCAGTCTGTGGGCCAATGCTCTATCCACTTAGCCAAACCAACTAGGGCTCAACCACTCTTTACACTCAGGGACCTAAGGGTGGCAGCCTGTTTATTGGGCAGGCGGCCGACTTAGCCCGGTGGAAGGACGCACAAACCAGACAAGAGTTTTACCAGTTTCAGTAATGATGTGGGGAAGAGGTTGTGTTTGTACCTTTCCAGAAGGAGCAGTGCAGCCAATTTGGGTACCAGAGCGTTACGTGTGTCACCACAATGGACCCAGAGAAGCTCCTTGTCCCATTGTTCAAAAGACTGAGAGTTGCCCCAATGACAGAAAAGTGGAAAAAAGAAGAAAAGGAAGGCTATGCAAGGGACTGAAGTGCCAACATGGGGTCAGCTGAAGAAGGTAATAACTGAGGCCCAGCAGATGGTAGAAAAGCAAGATGTGAAAGCTACTCCCTCAGTCATGTTTCTGGCTATGCTAGCATTGGTTAGCTGCCAGTCTTCTGCAAAGTCTTGCAAAGCCAAGTCCGAGGACTCTGAGTAAAGCAGCAAAAGAAACTTTCATTTAGTAGAAAAATGTTACTGTAGTTTGATTTCTCTCTCATTGCTGTGTTGCATTGGCATTGTTTGGTTATTCTTACTAGTTTTAAAATGTTAACACATTGGCATTGTTTTGTTAATAGCCAGAGCATTATGTTTAAGTTTTAAAATGATAACATGTCTGTAGTTTGGGTTTGGCATTGGCATTGTTTTGTTATTGTTTTAATAGCCAGAGTTTTGTTCTTGATGCTAAAGTTTTATTTTCATTATGGTAGCTTAAAAATAAAAAAAGGGTGAGATGTAAGGAGTGGCTATAGGGTTAAGCCTTGGACTGACCTGTTGGCAAGGCCACAAAAAAGTCCCAGCTTAGATGGCACAGCCCTCTTAGCATAATTAGGCTTGATCTTATGACGGGGCCACCAGGGCGAGGGTGGCGGGGTGGGAGCAGGGGTGTCGGTGAAGGTTGATTCCTAGAGTGAGCTCCAGCAGCCCCACCCCTCCCCCGGGCCTCTGTCTCCTGATTTGCAAAGAGGAAAGATCTGCCTGAGTCTCCTCCCAGCTGACTATCAAGGATTAAGCTCTCAGTCTCCATCACCTGATATCCACACCCCCCACCCCCCAGGCTCACTGAATCCTTCGCTGTGCTGGCATGGCACATGAGAGCACAGTGTCGTGAGGGACATAAAGTAGAGGACCCACACCGGGAGTTTAGGTGGATAAGGGGTGGAGAGGACTCAGGCACGCAGCATGGTGCCAGGCTTAAAGGATCTTATGGCAAACATCACCCTGGCCATCTGGGAGGTGAGCTGGGTGGGGCCTGACAAGATGAGCTCCTGGACCAGGGCCAGAGCCAAGATAGAGACAGGGGGAATGTTGGAAACACAGAAGCCTCCAGAGCTGACTCTAATTGCAACCTCACTCTCCTCCTCCAAGATTGTGACAGTCCACTTCTCGACTATCTTACTGTTTTCTCCCCTCTTCTGTCTGGCTTTAGCGGGGCCCAGTGCATCTATAACACCAGCAGGCTGAGGGTCCAACGGGAAAATGGGACCCTGTCCAAATACGGTGAGTCCTGAGGGGAAAGGGTGCTGTGTGGGATGGGGAGGTGGTGGGTGGGCCAGCCCAAAGGAGGAGACCTGGGGGCTTTGGGCACAGAGAGCCCGGAGACACCCTCTTCTTACATCTCCATGGGCCCGCTGCCTGCACACTGAAGCAATCAGTCATAGCTGCCAACATCTCTGAGCTCTTACTATGTGCCGGGTGCTGTTTGAAGTGATTTCTATGAATTGACCCACTTTAATACTCAGAAACCGGGGGCAGGCACCCCAAGATATTCCAATGGTCCCAGAGGGTCCAACCACCAGCCACGTCTTTCCAGAGATGCCGACTGCCAAGCAGCAGATCTCAGGCCGGTGGCCAGGCTTGTGCCAGAGCCCCTGGCCCCACCCCTTCTTATCTGGCTTCCTGAGGAGGAGGAAGCCCAGGAAAACTCCTCCATTTAAGAAGTGTCCCCGTATATAAAATGCATATTATTAGCTGGAGGTGGACACGTGCAGGACACTCCCAGGGACTGCATCTGGGCAACAGGTGGCCTTGGTCCCGGCACCTCCTTCAGGGGCTGGTGCCTGGGAAGCGACTTCTCTTGATGAGCAGAGCTCTGGCGTTTTGCAAACAGCAAGACTGAGCAGCAGGGCCTGTGCTGGAGGGAGAACTCCTCCTGAGGGGTCCTCAGGGCCTTCAGAGAATATGGCAGCAGGCTGCACACCCACCTGTCCACCATCTGTCTCTGAACCCCCAGTGCCATCAGAAGAGGCAGGAGCCCCGCAGGCTGTGATCAAGGGCACAGGCCTCTGATGCGGGCTTGATCCCCAGTAGGGGGCGTTCAGGAGGCAGCCAATCAATGATTCTCATCATTGATGTTTCTATCTCTCTCTCCCTCCCCCTTCCTTTCTGAAATCAATAAAATTATCATTTTTAAAAAATAAAATGGATGATCATCCAAAGTTGTAAGTACCATAATGATACTTTGTGAAAATATTACTTGTATGAATAAAGATTTGACCCCGTCATGTAGAAATGCAGAAGGGTGGAAGAGTTAGTGATTCCACAGGATTTCCTGAGCACCCACTGTGTGCTGGGCACTGCCCCAGGATTGGGGCAGCTGGTGAAAGAGAGCAAGCTTCCCACTTGAATAGCAGAGGATGAAGAAAACACAGAAGCGATTTCCTGTTTCAGATGTTGGAGATGGTTCACATAATACATTTACTGAAAACAGACATTCAACTTAATGCCCCATGTTGTTTTTTGTTTATTTGTTTTTTGGAAAATGTCCCTGCCTCCAGGCCTGGGTTGGGGAAATCTCTGGACTATTGGTCTTTCACAGTTGTTACCACACTCAACTGGAACTGAATCCATGTTTGCCTTCCCCCACCCTCTACACCCCTCCCCTGCACATGGCCCCTATACCCAGGCTAGCCTGGGAACCTCCAAGTTGCCTTCAGCATTTGATTTATGACTGGTTCCCTCTCAAGCCCTGGCACTCAGAGGAGTTGGATGAAACCAGGAGCACCTGCCCCTCTATGGAATCTACCAGCGTCACTAATATCACTCCAGCCCTTTCCACCTTGGCTTTGAACAGCCAGACCTTTGGGC